GGGGGGGGCTCTTACATGGATAGACCGTAGGCGCGTTTAGCTCGAGTAGCTCGCTCTTTGCGGGGCTCTTAGGACCATCTGGGTAGAAAAGGAAGGGGGGAGGGGGTCAGATGTTTAGCCCCATATCCAAAGGGAGAAAAACATGTCGCAATGAGCCTGTTTGTCCGAGTGCGATGTAGGCCGTGAGAGGGGGTGGTGCGGTCCAGGCCGTCGCGACAGGCCCGACCCGACGGGCTGGGGCGGGGCGGGGCGGGGCGGGGCGCGCCGGGCTTGTCACAATATTTGACAATGCGACGGCCATTCACGCGCCGGCCGCCTGCTGCGGGGCCCCTTGGGAGATTAGCCTGGTCAGCAGCCTCCACGTCTCTCTATTGCCCCTCTAGAGCAGCCTCCACACGGCTCTCTAGTGCCTCTCTAGAGAGCAGCCTCCACACACGGCTCTCTCTATTATTGCCTCCCTAGAGCCGGCCGCCACGCCGCCACATCCTTGCTAGACATACGGCCCTCGCTCGTTGAGTTTAAACGACTGAACACGCAACGTGTCGCGGGAAGGGAGGAGGGGGGGGGAATACGTCGCAGCATGTTTGCACGAATTTTTGGACCTAGGCATGTACCAGGTGGCTGACAGACGCCGCGCTCTTTCGTAGGTACACAGCGCCGCATGCACTTGTGTGGGCGGGTTGCCTGCTAGCACGGGGCCACAAGGAGCCATAGGCAACGAGGATAGGCAAACCCACCCACAAGCGGGCATGCGGTGCAGTATAACTACGAAAGTGCGCGGCGTTAATCAGCCACCTGGCACATCACAACAAGGGACATGAAAATACTATACATTTATCACTAAGTTTAACTTTTACACATCCAAATCGAAGACCACACCCGCAGAAAACTTTGTTTTGCATTCCAGTACAAGTTTATTTAACTAAATCTATCGCAATTTGCACTCGAAATGTGGGAAGTTTTTACTTGAGGTGAGAACAAAAGGACCAGAAAAAAGAACATATGCCTTTCATTAGCACCAAATGGACTTAATTCGGGGGTGAAAATGGTGAATATTTAAAAACTAATAGTCCCAAAACGAGTGCAATTTACTTGTTTCAAGAACACTTTTTTTCTGGGTGCCGTGAGGGCATAGAACTTGATTAAACGGGTCGATTCCATACAGGACTCTAAACTTGCACGCACAGCACCAATACAGGTGCCGGAAAAAAACACTGTTCCACACGAAAGCAAGCCTAAGCGCTCTTCCGCAACCCGACGGTTCACTAGATCGTCGCGAACGAATCCGAATCCCTATACGATCAATGTTCACTGTTCACTTTGGCTTTGCTGCACGTCAAAAATCCAGGAGTTGTGCAGGTGGCACTGACCTGCTAGAATCGGCCCGGCCAGCGCCAGGGCCATGAGAAGTAGTGGTCCCAGGTAGGTCCCCATGATGTCGGGGTACGTTTCCTGCACGGTCCCGGGGGTAGTCCGCACAGTAGTAGACAAGCGGAGCACCGCTTCGCGGGGTTCTTATATAGCCTCTCCCGACCGGCCAGCAGGCCGCCCGGCCGGCCAGGCTCGCCGGCCAGCGCGCCCCTCGACCCTCCCTCCCGCCCACAACAGCGATCTCTCTGTCTGTCTGCCTGTTTGTCTGTCTGTCTCTTTCTGTCTCTCTTTGTCTCTCTTCCATCGCCCCCAGGGGCAGATTCGAGGGGGGGGGGGGGCGTTGGTCATTTCCCCGTCCTCCCGAAGGCTTTTAGGTAGGTACCGCCCGGAAAGGGGTAAAAAAAAAAATGCTTCGGTAGCGACTAAAACATATTAATAAAACAGTTTCATTAACATCTCAAGTTCAAAGATGCATGCATGATACATTTTCGTTGCTTAACACTACGTTTTTCAACATGCTCAAATAAGCTCTGGTCTGGGACTTAAAATGAAAACACGCAAAATTTGTTAAGAGTGCTCAAAATTATGCTATTAAACCTGAAAAAAGGTTCGTTACTTTAATTGAGACCAGCGTCCCCACTCTACAGTGGTACTATTGTCATGTCTGTAGGTGTTGTGTGTTCTGAGATGAAAACAGGAACAGGAAAAGCGTGACACCGCACTGAGAACAATGCTCGTTCTTCCTACCACCACGAAGGTGAAGTGGGATGGTAAAGAAGGAGTAATGAGAAAGAAGAGAGAAAGAGAGGAAACGAGGAAAAGTGCGGGCGGGCCTGCCTATCGCCCCTGTCCACGGCACCTTACGGGCCGAGCGAGTAGGCAACCCTCCTGCACTCGTGCGCCCGGTACAGCACAACTACAGAAGTGAACGGGATTCATCAGCCACCTGATATATACGCATTTGTCGCTTGATTTTCGCTCGCTCCACTTACAGCGCGTTACAGCTGTCTGTCTGTCTGTCTGTCTGTCTGTCTGTCTGTCTGTCTGTCTGTCTGTCTGTCTGTCTGTCTGTCTGTCTGTCTGTCTGTCTGTCTGTCTGACGGTCTGTCTGTCTGTCACTCTCTCTGCCGTTAGTGTGCAATTATTGTACGCTATTTAATGTATTATTGTTGTTTCGAACGTTCTATTGATCGTCCCATTCATATTATCGCCTGGCGGCTGCTCGGGCTTGGGGCGGCAGTGCCGCCCAGCCCAGCCTCGCTCCTCGACAGGCAAAGTTCTTGTTTGATCTTCGCTGACCGGGCGGCGGGCGCGGAGGCGGCGGCCGCGGCCGAGCGAGGAGAGGTTCCTCGAATCGACTTCGCTAAAAAAAAAAAATAATTGCGGGAAAAGCACAGTAGTAGTCGGGGTGGGGTGGAGGTGCTTGCTGTGACAGGGGCGAGGGGGTGTATGATGGAAAACAGAAAGGG